TGTGGAGCGAAAAAATAGAAGGAATCTTAAGGGCAAAGAAACTTTGGAAAAAAGTAATGAATGTGATGCCAACAGACAAACCAGAAGATGATGAAAGATATGTGGAAAAATTTAAGCTATGGAATGAATGGGACGATGATAACTACGTCGCACGTACAGTCATGATAAACACGATGAGTAAAGCTCAATTATTGAAGTATAGTCACGAAAAGGTTGCAAATAAATTATGGAATCTAATTAAAAACAATATGGCAGCTGAAACTGAGCAGTTGAAGGCGAGATCATTAAGTGAATTGTCAAATCTAAAAATGAATAAGGACGAAAGTGTAGATGCGTACCTTAATAGAGCTGAGGCTTTGAGAAACCAATGCGGACAACTCGGTAAAAACATAGAGGATTACGAATTGAGGATGTATATTATATGAGGACTAAAATCTGAATTCGATCAGAATGTACGAGTGTTTGAAACACAGAGAGAGCTAATCATAAATGACATAAGATATGCATTAAAACAAGAGGAAATACGAAGAGACAAACATAAAGATGAAAAAACATCGAAAGAAGAATATGTAAGAAAAGCCAGAGATAAATCAAGAAATAACTATACATGCTGCAATTGCGGAATGAGTGGTCACAAATCAAGCGAATGTCGTAACAGGAAGAAGTGCTTTAATTGCCAGGGATACAATCACATCGCGGTTGATTGCAGAGAACAGAAGAGAAACGTTTCACGTGGAAGAGGATTTAGAGGAATCTCAAGAGGAAGAGGAAGAGGACGTAGTCAAGGATATAATGAAAGTACATTAAAAACTACAGATGAAGCGGTATTAACTATAAGAGATCGATCACACGTGAGTACACCAAAAATAAATAAAGAGCCTAAGCATGAAATAACAAAAAAGGGGACAGAAGGGTATATATGGCTATTAGATTCAGGTGCAACAAGTCATATGGTAAGCAATAAAGTCGTATTTGATAATATAGAGGAAACAAGAGACGTTACCTAGGCTGACAAAGAAGGAAAAAAACTAATCTCAGATGGTCGAGGTGAAATAGTATAATAATAAAACAGAATTTTAATAAAGATAGGATACGGGTAAAAAATGTATCC